GCCTTTTGCCTCTCCCGACCCCTAATATATCCTGGGTATTTATTCTAGATCAGGGAACAGAATTCACCTTCATTCTTCTCTGTACCTGTGTAGCACTGTACTCTGGTCTGGTCTAGGCACGGTAGCATAATCTTCCCCTGTTAGGTCTGTGTTGCTGAGACCAAATATCTGATACATACAACTTTAAAAAGTTTTTCTTAGCTCACAGTTTCCAAGGTTTTCCATTTTTGGTCAGCAGATTTTAAGGCAGAGACAACCACTCTCCTCATGTAGCCAAAGGCCGAGACCAAGAGGTACACTGTCCAAAGGTTCGTGCCCAATGGCCACCTGCCTCCTCCAGCAGGGCCTGCCTCCCAGCAACCCACGCAGCCGTCAGCTCCAGTGCAGTGATCCCCTGACGAAATGAGTGCCATCACCATCCAGTGACTTGAAATTCCACCTCCGAACACAAGAGACTTTGGGGGGACACTTTTGGTCCAAACCCTAACATACCCCAATATCCTGACAGTGGACACTGGTTTTTTCTAGCCTTTCATCTTCACCATGGATGATGCTGTGGTGAGTGCCTTATGCATTTGCCATTGCCTTTTCAAGGGAATGCACACTTCCTAGAATCACCACCCAGTAACCTCCAAGGTGTTAACTTAGCCCCCTTCTTTGGAATGTGAGTTTGAACTGAAGCTTTTTCCTTAAATTTAAGTTTCTTGTGAGTTGCTTTTTGTCACTAGCTTTTATATATACAAAGCATTACAGAGCATACAAAGCATTACAAAGCTTGACAGACATACTGCTATTCTAATCCAGACAGGAGATAGTGGTTTGTTTTTTTTTTAAAACCTGTTTAGGAATTGTCAGTATAATTTCAAAGCATACAAAAAAATGTTTCTTTTGTTATTCCTTTTTGCCTTAGTTTCTGGTCAAGTATAATTTTAAAAACTCTTCAGTCAGCTGCAAGCTTCTGACAGAGGAGTTGTTCCCTAGAGTGTTCATCTTTCCCAGTCTCTGATTTGGAACCCGCTGTGTTTGAACATCCCTAGGCATGGTGGCACCTCCACAGGTGCCGCCTAGTGGCTGATGTATTTCTTCCCTTGAGTGTAAGAAACATCTCAGTTTCAGAACTGGCAAAACACAGGAGGGAGAGAAGCAAAGTCAGTCCAAGAATGAAGGAAAATATTGACTGCAGTGTTTTGGTGCAATTGCTTCTGTGGACCGTCAGGTTATTCATTTTAAATCAGTTAACTCCACACTCCCAGGTTCCCCACATCCTTTACAATACATTCTTTTGCAAGTTCTGTACTATGTTTCAAGTATTTTATATTGGGTGAAGTTTTCTTTAATGAAATTACAAACATGAATCATCTGTCTAATAAATTCAGACTTCATAAAAACCTGTAAATAGAGGCTCTTTACATGATTAGTGTACATATACTAACAGACTATATAAATGTTTTAAAATAAATACAGTGTTATTTAGGCTTGCAAATTGCCTTCTTCTCTTAACATATCCTATTTCTTTACACAAAATTTTCTCTTTAAAAGTCATTTTTAAAAGGACCATGTGAGAATCCATTTTTTTGGATCTCTCAGACAAATTTTTAAAAATCAATTTTAAAAATCAATTTTCTGATGATGGATCCTTAGATGGTTTCTGGCTTGTGTTAGGTAGATGGGTTTGATTTGTGGTATCTGTAACAGGTGGTATCTTTGTGTGAGTCTCTTCTGAGTTTCCTGTTCACTAATGTAGGCATCCTTTCTCCACTAATGACCACAATCTATTTACTCAACACTTACTGTGTACTGTATTCATAGCTACTGCTTAGACCCTTGAGAGTTACCTGAGAATAAAACAATGATTCCTATCTTGTCGGTCTTCCTTATGGAAGATGGTCTTCCTTATTATAAAAAAGATGATAAAAATTTTAAGTATAAAGGATAAATGATACAAAAAAATGAAACCAGTACATGGACCTGGGGAGATTGCCATAGGTGTTGAGACTTGAGTTTTGTTGAGTCAGTTAAGCAAAGACTCAAAGAGGATTCCAGTGAGCCAGGCAGCTGTCTGAAAGGAGAGAATTGTAGGGTGAGTAAACAGCCATTACCTGCAGCCTTGAGAAGGAAGTGGGTGTGCCGGTTTGAGTAAACAGGAGGGAGAGAAATAACAGCTTAGGTCAGAAGGTAGGGAGGTCTGGGCTGATGACAAGAAAGCCTCACTTAGAAAGTTACCTCATGCGAGCTGTACCTTTTATCAAGTAATGGCATAGGAGAGGTAATTTATACAAAATAACAAAAACTTACTGAGAACATCTGTTACTAATCTACAGATTTACGGCATAATTAAATGCCTGTAATAACAATAGAGGTAATTTATACAAAACAACAAAAACTGAGAACAGCTGTGTTGCTAATTGCAGATTTATGGGTTAATTAAATGCTTCTTTCAAGCACTGAGTCTTGGGGAATTGATTATACTAATGCTATTCTTATGTGAGAATAAAATTATAGTTACTATTTTTGTGTATGGTCCTCAGTATTGCACTCAGGGCTTTTGTAGCGATACAGAACTGCTAAGCTGTTTTCTAAGAATGAGCTACATTCCTAGATCTTCAAAAAAATTGTTTTTGAGTCAGGGTCTCAGTCACTAAATTGCCCAGTCTGGATATGAACTTATGATCCCAGGGTGCTGGGCTTACAGTTATGTGCCACTAGGACTGGCTCACAGTTATTACTTTTAAAATAAATTACAGTAACTTTCAGAAAAACATAACATAGTTCTGAGTGTTACCGAGATCTGTGTAGATTCATGTAATGCCAGCAGTCAGTATGAGCATTCCCATCCCTCTCCGAGTTTGTGCATGCTGCCCCCCTGGTATTCACTCTGGCCTCACCTCCAGTTCCAGGCCTTTGTAAGGATTTCATATAAAGGGAATTTTATAATCTGTAGCCATTTGAGTCTGACTGCTTTCCTGATGTCTTTCAGATTCATGCATACCACTGCATATAAAAACCATTCCTTTTTATTTCTCAGTAAGTTCCACTATATATATATGTACTATAGTTTATCCATTCGCTTTAAGGATGTGTATAGATAGGTTATTGTACTCTCATGCAGTCATGAATATAACTACAGTAAGCATGCATGTACAGCTTCTGCATGAAGATAAATTATTTCTCTATGATAAATAGTTAAGGGTTGTTGGTATGCATGAGAAGCTTTGACTTTAGGAGTTTAATGATACAGAGCTGCTAGGCTGTTTTCTAGCGTGATTGCAGGACTTTTCATTCCCACAGTGATAGAAAAGATTGCAGCTGCTCTGCATCCGAACTTGCATCATTAGGTTTCGTTGGACAGGCCGTGGGTGTGTGTTGTTATCTCACTGTGGATTTAATTTGCATTCTGTGATGGCTGAAATCACATTGGACACTTCTTATTTTGCTCATTTACCATCTAAACATTGGTGCAGTGTGTTTTAAAATTTTTTGCTCATTTTTTTAAAATTAGGTTTTATTCGTGTGGAGTTTTGAGTTTTTTCTGAAGTCCTTTGCCTAATGTATGATTTACAAACTTATCTCTGAGTGTTTGGCTTGCTTTTGTTTTTTTTTTTTTAACAGTGTTGATTGTTCTTACCAAAACATTTTTAATTTGATTGATTGATATTTCTAGGCTTGAACCCAGGGCCTTCACACTGAGCTACACCCCTAGTTGTCTTTTTATTTTGTATTTTGACCCTGCCTTGCTAAATCACTAAGTAGCCCAAACTGAGCTCAAACTTGGGATCCTTCTGCCTCAGTCTTCCTAAGTGCTAGGATTATGGCATTACCCTGCTTGGCCCATTTTAATCTTGAGGAAGCCCAAATTGTATTTTTCTCTATGTACTTATCTTGTGTTATCATGGCTAAGAACTCATTGCCTAACCTAAGGCGTAAAGATCTGTTTTATCTTCTAAATGTGATATATTTTGAATTTGTGTGTAAGATGGGAGGTGTGGGTTGTGATTTAGGGTTTTTTTCCCTTTTGTTTTGCATGTGGATGTTCAGTTGTTCTCACATCATTTGTTGAAAGCACTGTCCTTTCTTCACTAAAATGCCTTTTCATCTTTGTCAAAAATCAGTTGATCTGGTCTGTGTGGGTGTTTCTCTAGAGCCCTTTGTTTTGTTGCATTGATCTGTTTCTCTATTCTTCTGTCAGTATCACACTGTCTTAATTATACCTTTTTAGGAGACCTTAAAACCAAATTTACTCTTTTTAAAAATTATTTTGGCTGCTTATTCTTTTGTGTCTTGTTATACATTTGAAAAGTCTCCTTGTCTGTTATCTACCTGTATTGACAAAAACTGCTGTATATTGGTTGGAATTACCTTTAACATAAAGGTCAGTTGAGAATAGACGTCTTTACTGTGCTGAGTCTCGCAGTCCATTAACATGGTAACTCTCCTCTCATTTCTTTAGCAGTCTTGTAATTTTCAGCATATAGATCTTTCAGTTAAATTTATGCGTAAATATTTGATTTGTAGCATCCTTATAAATGGGACTGTTTTAGTGGCTTCTGTTTCTAGTTATTGATTGTTAGTACTATTTGATTATTCTATGCTGAATTTATAACCTGCTACTTTGATAAGCTTACTTACCAACTCTAGGGCACAGCCAGATTATTTTTAGGAAATTATAAAGTGGGAATGGTTTTTATAAGTTCATTTTAGCTTTTTTTTTTTTTTAGGTAAAATGTCAAAATTAAGTCTTGAATGAGGTGAGATTTCCTGTTCCTCCCTTTCCCTTTAGCAGCTTATATAAGTAGCTTCACTAGCAGTTAAATATTTCTATGGCTTGGTGATGGAAGCCTCAAACAAACAAACAGAAAAAACCACACTAATTTCAAAGTTTAGTTTCTCCTTCTTTGTAATTAAATAATGCAGCTAATTTTGTGAAAAAGTTTTATAATGATACATTTCTAGCAGAAGAGGTAACTGGTCTATTTCTTCACTCGTTTGCTTTGTCCTGCCAGGTATTGGGAGAGTTCCCGCTACATCTTTAGGCAATTTAACCAACCATGGCTCTGAAGACTTGCCCCTTCCTCCAGGCTGGTCTGTGGACTGGACCATGAGAGGGAGAAAATACTACATAGATCATAACACAAACACCACACATTGGAGCCATCCTCTTGAGCGGGAAGGGCTGCCTCCTGGATGGGAACGAGTTGAATCTTCAGAATTTGGAACCTATTATGTAGATCACACAAATAAAAAGGCTCAGTACAGGCATCCCTGTGCTCCTAGGTAAAGTATTAACTTTATTTTCCATTTTCTGTTTTGAAATTGTCTTGTATTGGATTTGGATTCATTTTCATCAGAGCGAAAGAGATTCTGAAGCTTTTAAATCATTAAAGTTTGAACTTAATGACATTTTTCTCTGGACTTATTTTTAGTAGTCAGTGACTAATAAATTTTAAAAATATTTATTAAGTACTTTTTAGATTTACAAACAGGACCAGTGTTCTTGTTATCAGACTCCACTTTAATATGCCAGTTTTTGTTGTGGATACCCACAAGTTAAAACTAGTAAGTAAAACATCTGTCTCTTCACATTTAAATTGCTGTATGGTGCAAACCTACCTCCTTGGGCTGGGGATTTAGCTCTGGCATAATTGCTTGCCTGGCAAGCATGAGGTCCTGAGTTCAATCCCACATACAAAAACAAAACAAAACAAAATAAACAAACAAACAAAACTGTTATCAAACCTGTCTCCTAATAAATCAGAAGACACTTTTGAATTAGAAAATCTTGCTGTTTTTATTCAAGACTATTCATTTGATACTGTGTTTCTTACTCTTCCCAGGTAAGAAAGGGAAACTTAGGACCCAACAGAACATCCCAGATGTAATAAATGTAGCCAGTGGTTCTTTGGATAATTTTTATGGATACTGGACTTACCAGCAGACCTGGCTGATTGCTAGAATGTAACCCTGTGCTATCTAATACCATAGCCAGTTGTCACTAAAGCTGGATTCCAAAGTACATATAAAGTGGGTATTAGCTTATTAATGAATTGGCAAGTACTTCGTATTAGCCATATTTGAGCTTCAAGAACTGTTAGATTTAAAACTGAGTAAAAATGTCTTTAGTATGTTGATAGATGTTATCTCACTTCATCTGGCTTTTAAAATAGATTTTTGGTTATAGCAGATATTTTTAATTTTTTAGAACCATTAAAATCATTGTGGGGTGAGCCTGGGTCTCATTAGTAGAGTCCTTGCATAGCAAGTGCAAGGCTCTAGATTCAGTACCCTGCACTGCAGGGCAAAAACAGAAAAAAACCCAAACAAGAAAAGCTCATTACAAAAATGTTTTAGTATTATTATCTGAAAGAATAAGCTTTAGCTCTGTGTTGCTTTAATTATTTTATATATTTATTGAATCAGCTTTGAAAATGTTTCTCCAGTGATTTCATTTAATAACACTCAGTCAGTGGTTATTGAATGTCCTTCTTTACCAGGAACCAGACCTGTGGCTATGCTTTGCTGTCACCAGGTGGCAGAAATCTTTTGTGTTCCAAATAATGAGATTAAGAGTTTACTTTCTTGTTCTTTATTATTAGCCTCACAATATAGAGTTTTTAAGCTTAAAAGCATTTTCACAATTAGTTGATTTGCTGCTCTCAGAAACTCTATAGAAGTTAAACAGAAAAGAATAAAACTTCTTCAGTTCACATGAGTAGTATTTCTAGCTCTTTGAGTCTGTGTATGTTTTTCCGGCCTTATGCAGAATTTACGGCTTACATTGCCTCATTTAATCCTGATAACCTGTGGTATGAATTCATTGTTTTTTAACAAATAATTAGAGGCTTACAAAAATGAAGCCATTATGGGGTTGGGGATTTAGCTCAGTGGCACAAGCGCCTGCCTTGCAAGCAGGCAGTCGTGAGTTCGATCCCCGGTACCGATAAAAAAGGAAAAAGACCCAAAAAAAAAAAAAAAAAAAAAAAAAGCCATTTTGGCTACATTCATATAAATTGTAGTGGTCAATCTGAAGTTAAAACATAGGCATATTTGCCTTCAAAGCCTTACTTCTTCCCTACCCAACAACTGCAGTTATCAATGAGTACTTCCTTTTGAGCCTATTTAGGAAAGGAAAATCGACATTTTTCCCATCTTTACATGATCTATAATAAACACAATGTAATCTAACACTTGTTTTAATCCCAGTTTAGAAAGCAGTGATCTGACATGTACATAACACACATGTTTATGTTTGGAGGCAGATGCCTTCCAGTTTTGTTTTCCAGTCTGAAATAGATCATTTTGGCCTTTCAGAATTCAGTTCTTACCCTTCAGGTGGTTCACTGTTTTCCTTAGGGCTTTGCCCTGAAATACCTTTCTCCCTACTTAGATGTTCCCTGTCTCCTCCCAGGACAGCCAGACTGTTAGAACAAATTAAAGCTTGGTCTTTTTTTTTATCACTTTGACTTAAAATAAGTTCAATTCTTTCCTTTTTTTTTTTTTTTGCCTTTTTCCTTTTTATCAGTACCAGGGATCGAACTCATGACTGCCTGCTTGCAAGGCAGGCGCTTATGCCACTGAGCTAAATCCCCAGCCCCAAGTTCAACTCTTTAATTCCCATTTGTTCTCTTAAGCTGGTACAGTACCCTGTATCCTCTGCTGTGCTGCGTATCTTAATGATTCTTTTCAGTCTTTCAAAAAAAAAAAAAAACTTTTTTTGCTTAATTATTAACTTTTCCAGTATAAATTTATAGCAAATAGTTATGCAACAATTTGTGATTCTAGACTTAAGCCTTTGTGGAAAGGGTACAACTTTTATATAACCTCCATCCAAACTATCCTTACATGAGTATCTTTAAAATATGTACAAGTTTAGCTGAGGTTTGTTTCTCACTAGCAACATACCAAGTCAAAGAGAAGGTGGCTTTTACTTCCCTCTAGTCTGATAAAGAAAGCAAGTTTTACCAGGGATTTAGCTCAGTGCACAAGCATCTGCCTGGCAAGTGTGAGGTCCTGAGTTTAATCCCCAGTATCAAAACGAAACAGTTATTGTCATAGAAAGCTATCTTTTAGGGGTGGAAAGTAGTCAGTTCAGGAAAGGTGCATATGGAAGGATGCTTAGGAATTGTTTTTATAATTTCTTGCTTAGATTTAGGGTTTTTAACCTAAAGAATTGCTACCTCTTTCTTCTTAGTGTACCTCGGTATGATCAACCTCCTCCTGTCACATACCAGCCACAGCAAACTGAAAGGAATCAGTCCCTTCTGGTACCTGCGAATCCTTACCATACTGCAGAAATTCCTGACTGGCTTCAAGTGTATGCTCGAGCCCCTGTGAAGTAAGTGAAACTACAGGACAGGTATTTTTTAGGGATCTCTGAGTTGCTTAACCCAAACAACAGTAGTACTAATAATATTGGGCTTCTAAGTAACACTGTATTGAATAAGAGATATTAGAGCTTGCAAAGTTTGAGGACCATTGATTAGAAACACTATGCTTTAAGCATTCGTCCTTCAGTTCTTTGGGTGCGTATCTCTGCTTTTAGCCATACAGTAAGTAGCCTGCATTCTTAGAAGAGATTAACTTATAAAGTGATATATTGCTTGTGATAAAAAGGATCTAGGTAAGTGCTAGGTATGTGGGTGAAAGAAAGCAGGATACTCCCAAGAGTGAACTTCTTGTTAGGAATTATGAATTTATACCAAGTAAAATATTATGCTACAGGAAAGCCAGAAGTTCTAGAAAATACCTAACATGTAACTCTTTCTTCATGGAGGCTAAGTACTTTTCTAATTTCTGTTCAGGAATAATTCTAATTTACCAACCCAGCACGGTAGCGCCTGCCTGTAATCTCAGCACTGAGGCTGAGGCAGGAAGATTACTTGAATTTGAGGTCAGACTGTGCTACCTAGTGATTTCAAGGCCAGCCTGAACTGCAAGCAAAACCCTGTCTCAAAAAAACCAAAGTAATAAGAGTAATAAATAAAGATAAGCAAGCAGTTATAGTTCTCCATAAGAGAATTATAAAGCTTTGTACAGAGAAATCAATTCCTTTTAGTAAATTTGCAGCTTTTAAGCAACTGATTAAGAGTCCAATGGAATTGTTTACCTTGTGGTTTTTGCATATTGTGTTCATGACTTCCTAATCTAGTTGGACAGGAAATTATTCAGAGTCCAAGGATGTGGCACATGCTTACTGCTCAATTCTGGTTTTTTTTGTTCATTTTATAAGCAGTTTTTTTCTTTTTTTACACTAGATGATCCCTTTGAAATAAAATGGTAAGTGGTTTAGCCAGAAACCATTGGGTAGGACATCATAAATTATTTTTAAAAACAAATTTATTAGTATTTGCAAAGCTAGTATGTAAGCTCTGCAGTGATTTGAGCAATTATATCAATATTCTATCAGTATACAACTTACTGTATTTCGAGTTATCTTGTCTTCATGAAAATTAACATTCATTTTCTAACAGTTTCTTGCTCCATAATTCTCTTCCTTTCCAAATTTTTAGTTGGTAAACACTTGCAGGAGATAAGTAGCTTCTCTAGGTTTCAGTTTTTTTATCTTTAAAATGAGAAAATTGAATTGGAGTGCCATCTCCTGTCCTTTTTCAAGGAATAAATTACCGTAGTAGTTGGATACATAGTTCAGATCTCAACATGTGATCTCTGTACCACTGAAGGAGGACTACAGGGCTTTCCAGGATTATGTAATTATTTGTATGAGTCCTTTGCCACATTTTGGAGTCTTCTACAGTCTACTTTGTGAAGTTTATTTCCTACAATTTTTCTTATACAAGGTTACTGATCCTCTGGAGTAATTAGCCTATGACCAGTGATTCTTCATTCTTCCCCTCCTCTTTGGCTGTTTGCTACCAGTGACACAAATGACTGCCCGTGTTTGTGTATCATCATTTACAAGCACAATGTGGTTTCTTCACAGAAATCATAGAACCACTATAGTAGTTGGTGTTCATGGTTGTTATTAGTAGTAGACAAGAAATGGACACTTAAAAGAAGTGAGCATTCTTGAAGTAATACAATATTTTCCTTAAAAGTCATGTATGTAGTCAGGCATGCTAGTATGCATCTGTACTCTACAGGCTGAACAGGAGGATGGGCCTAGGAGTTCGCTGAGCAGGACCTCAGCTCAAAAACAAACAGAAAATCAAGTTAATAACTTAATTATCTTAAGCTTATGATTTGTTTAGTTATAATAAAGTTAGTATTTGTAAAAATACCCTAGTTTATTGCTGTAAATACATGCTTATATATGTAATGTGAACATTGTTTTAAAACAGATACGACCACATTCTGAAGTGGGAACTCTTTCAGCTGGCTGACTTGGACACATACCAGGGAATGCTGAAGTTACTTTTCATGAAAGAACTGGAACAGATTGTTAAAATGTATGAAGCCTACAGACAAGCTCTTCTCACTGAGTTGGAAAATCGCAAGCAGAGACAGCAGTGGTATGCCCAGCAACATGGCAAGAATTTTTAAGTTAACTTTTTAAAAGAAATTTTAAGTTTTATAAGAGCTTTAAAATACTTTCACAAGCTTAAAAAATGCAGACAAGTACCTTGGTTAACAAAGGCAGCTTACTTTTTGGAAATTATAAAATTTTAATTTTACATGTATTTTGTCATTAGAAGTTTTCTTTTATTACAAAATAAAAATGAGTATGTTATTCTAAGAGCCAACATGGTATGTACATCCAAATGCTGCGTATTAGGAAACTGCTTTGAATATTCTTGATGGAGAAAAACGCAGCAAGAAAATGTCAAAACCATACATCAACTAGAAAATGCTCACTTGGTAATTTCTTACAGCTGCAACACGTTTCTTTTTTAAAAAATTATGCTGTTTTTAATGTTTACTGGTTAATGTGGAACCTTACCTGGAATGGGATGGTATGCATATTATCATGGCATAGTTCAGAATACAAAATAGGATTTGGAACCTTTATTCTGATGTTTCTGTATGTAATCTATGTCACGTCCCTTTTTCCCTGCCAAGTGTAAGGGGCCCTTTTGAAGGATGCTGAGATAATCTTTGAGGAGCCAATTTCAGCATCAGGCCTTGTCCTGGGTGGGCAAGGGGTGCACAGCTCTCAGTCGCGGCTTGGCTTCCAGCAGCATTGCACACCGTCACCTCCCAGACTGGGCTAAACGTGACAATCAAGGCGTCCGTGAGCAATCTTGGCCATTAAATCAGTTTTATATGACTTTTTTTATCTGGTAAGTGTTTTTGCAGCAAAATGATATCCAATTTTTTTCCCTTTTGGTTTATATTAAAATGTTCATAATTAATACAGAATATTTGATTACAGACAAATATGGTATTTCTAGCCTGTAAATCTCTAAAATTCTGTGAATTTCATAGCTTTTCAGTTACATTTACCTGAGTTGTAAATATATGTAAATATGTTTCTGGTTTTGTTAGTCTTTCAAAATACAAAGCACTCCCAGTTAAGACGTAAGTGGGTTTGAATTATGCATAAAATGTTGTGTTTGATTTTATATGACAACTTTATTAAATATATTTTTGTGGAAACTAAATGTGTGCTATTTGAGTCCATATTTTTACATCTAGCATGCTTGATTTTTCTGTTCAGGCTACAGGCCCAAGAAGCACTATAGTGATGGGGTGTGGAAAAATTAAGGAATAGCTTAGTGGAGTTCTTGCCAGTTAGCCATTTTTAAGCAGAAATGTCCATTTTGCATCTCCCAGATCAGAAGCATTACTTTTATCATTGCCAACTCTACCTCCGCTGTTTTCCTGTAAGAGCCCTGCTTAATGAAACTCCACTAAAACTTTTAGTTGTTAAAAATACATTACGGGGCTGGGGATTTAGCTCAGCGGCACAAGTGCCTGCCTGGCAAGCATGAGATTGAGAGTTTGATCCCTGGTACCAAAAACAAAAATTATAGAACTACTCATGGTTTTATGAAAAGTGGAAGGTACCTAAAGAGATTAGCATGTTTCTTTAAATGAAATTCTAACACTGTCAACAGACAATAGTGAATCTTCAGTAAAAAAGCAGATAACTTCCATCATTTTATGTCTGCACCTTACAGACATTTCCAAATTCATTAAGCATATGTTTTAATGTTAGGTTTTAATGTTAGGAACCAGAGTAAACTTTAACTAGTTCACATGTTAAAAGAATAAACCTATTTTTGTAGGGTCACTTTTTTGAATGTCATTCTAAATACTTTAATTCTATAACCTAAACAGCCATTTCGAAGAAGACAATTTGTAACTTATCAACTGGCAATTTCTTACCTTTTGTTTGTCTGTAATTTAGTATTATTTTTCTACCCTTTTTTTCTTTAATCTCCATGTATTTTTTTTTTCGTTTCCTTTTCTTTAAATAAATAAAAAAAAAAAAAAAAAAGAAAGAGAAAAGAATAAACCTATGAAGAATACATTTGTGTACCAAATGAAAAAATATACAATGCAGTGAAACCCAAATACATATACAAAGTGATTTTTTTTGTGCATTTTTGATCAAGAGGCTTTACATTCTATATTAAATCATAATATAAAAGAAGCATATATAGTTTCTGGTAAAGCAACAAAAGCTTAAACACATTAAATGTATTTTAAAGTAACTAGGAACTCATGGTAAGAGTAGGATCATATAGGTCAAATCAAGCCTGCTGAATGATGATGCTGTGGCTTTAACAACTGTGTGAAATCAATAAAAATTTTTTCTATAGAAATTAAATGAGCATTTCCAGAGTAATACCACTGCATGGTTTAATTATAACCCAGTAGGAGAATTTAATAAATTCAAGCAGAACACATGTACTCTCATCATAAATACACAAATACCTTAAATGATAACAGCATATTTAAAGACAGAAATCAGGAAACTGTACATGTTAACAAAATAGTATAACCATGCATACACACATCTGCTTATTAAACACTGGAGTAAAGGAACTAAACCTTTATGCAGTCTTGGAGTGTATGGTATTTTATTCTGTTCTCATGGAAGCACTTTGAATGTTTGCATGGAAACAAAAAACAGTATTTAACTGACAGCTGGTCATGCACTTGTATTTTTAAAATTTGGCTTAAATTTTCTTCTTTTCTGATTGTTCAGTAGCTTCTGACTTTGGTGCAGGAAAAGCTTGATGATACAGATGTCTGTGGGTTGCTGCTGCACTGTAAAGCTTGTATAAAGCCTAGAATACAAGAATCAGGATTATAAAACATTTTATCAAACACATAAAAGTTTCCCTTTTTACTTTATGAAACTAAAATTTAGCATGCTGAATTTGGAATCTTTTATATCATCACTCTGTGGAAGACCTAAACGAGTAATTTATTTTGGCCTTCCCAGCATGTGTGGTCTCTTGTGGAGTGATCTTCATGGTAATGTTTTATTCTCAGACTGCATTTCCTTCTACCTGGTGTGCTTCCTGGAGCATTGCTTCCCAACTGTTGTGCTTCAGAGCTGTGTGGAGCATTCGTATTGTGAGCACTGGCAGTTTTAGAGAAGTCATAGATAGAGCTCGTACCTTCTGACTGCCAGTATTTTCCAGATCAGGACCAGTTTTATTTACCCTTCCTTCCGGATGTGGCTGAGCAATTCTGCACACAGGCCGCCTCGTCCTTGTCCTTGCTCCCACCCTTGGATCCCTGCTTCCTGTGCTTTCTTGCCTTGCGTCAGTCACTTGGTTTGTGTTATAAAAGGTACTCAGCAACACCACCTCAGAAAGCTTTCCTTACTGAAACTGCCTCTGATTGTTCTATGTATCCTTGTAACTGTGTTGGAATCCTAGGAATTGTAGCAAGCTGTATATTGTTTTACTTAGGTGCCCATAAATGCCTGCCCCCCACCCAACTATGTGAGTCATCTCTTCCCTGACCTGCATGTACTGAACACTCAATTCTTCCTAACATGTGGAGTTTAGTGCTACAGTCTGTAAAAAGTTCTTGAATATTTTACAGAGGCAGATAAAAGCTTTATATCCGGGGCCAGAGATTTAGCTCAGCAGCATAAGCCTCTGCATTGCAAGCGCCTGGTTGTGAGTTCGATCCCTGGTACTGATTAAAAAAAAAAAAAAGCTTTATATCCTTTAAATAGTAATCTATTCCCAAGACATGCCCTGTTTCTTCTCTGTGAGTCTGTTTTCATTTTACCAAAGTTAAAATTTGTTTTTGCTATTTTAGCGAACTTTTACTGAGTTTTACATAAAGTAATTTCTTATTGACTTGTAAATATTAAATGTCTGATTGATATTTGGAGAACATAATCCAGTTATATGGTACTGCAGAAACTGAGGGAAAAATTACATGCTATTTCTGTAGTTGCTTAAAATCAGGTTTTCTTCTCTGATGATAATTAACCTGAAAGACTCCACTGAGGTCATTTTTCTTAGTGTGAAAACTGCTAGCTTCCTGAGAGCGCGTGCAGGGTCCTGCATACATAGCAGCACAGAGTGGGAACCGAACCCTGGTTCACAGGCCAGTGCAAGGCCAGGCAGGAGAGCTGTGGCGGCAAAGAACCTGCTTACAGTGGTGTGGGTAACTCGCTCAGAGCCAAACTTACAGCCACTGCCGGTTGCAGCTATACCTTCAGGAATTAAATTAACTCAGTCCTTTTAACTGCTTGTTTCACTCGGCAGCTTAAGAAACTTGAAATTTTTTACGCATTCAGGAGATGAATACTCTTTCAGGCTGATCAGTTTTTTGTGTGTGTATGTGCTGCAAGTCAAATTATACGTGTTTGGAATACATTAAAAATTCATAATTAAAAACTCAGAAGTAGTAGTTACTGAAGACTACTCTACAGTACATTGATATCTTTTTTTTTTTTTTTTTCTTTTTATCGGTACCAGGGATCAAACTCATGACCGCCTGCTTGCAAGGCAGGTGCTTATGCCACTGAGCTAAATCCTCAGCCCCAGTACATTGATATCTTAATGGCTAGTCATTAATAAAAATACTTCAGTGTTTATAAATATAGAGCTCTTAAAAAAAAAAAGTTCAACTTACCTCATTCGTGCTTCCCTGTGGCAAAGGCAGTTTAAAAAGGAAAAAAGAAAAGTATATATTGGGCTTTATTAATAGCATTAGGATATTCAACTTTGTTTATGATACACATTTAATTTATTTAGTTTGTGAGCATTTAAGAACAAATATTCCTGAAGATTTTTCAGTTTAGAGCATATATTTTATCAGTCTTTTTACAAATAAAAATCTGTATTTCTGGTAGATTTCAGCATCATAGTCTAGGGGAGTTTTGAGATTTATCTCAAATAGCCCATCTTCAGCTTTTTGAGGGTGAGGGACTGCTTCAAGCAAGGACCGAGTTTTTACTTCATTCCCACCTAGATTTAAAGTCAGACATTAAAGGCATCAGTTGTATTTTATTGTGGAATATACACAGGGATGTTCATTGAGAAAACTGTGAATTATAGCTATTACTTGTTACCCGCAGACTACATACGTTTAAACTCTTAAATCCGTTTTATGGAGATTCTCACCTTTAACTTCACTAAATGTCCCTGAATTTTCATGAACTAAAGTCAACTCCAGAATGATACAGTGAGATGATCATTGTTGTGGGTGTATCTATAACTGTCTGTCCTGTCCCTAATCAATTATTTAGTGTACTATCATGGCCCTGACCTTCTGAAATGGCTGAGTGGACCAGAGAAAACAGCTAGTCATGAGCAGCTAATCAGCTCGGGTAAAAATCTGGTCCAAAGACAGTCTGCAGTGCCTTGTTACTGCTTTTAGGAGTTGATGGCAAAAAGGAATGATGTGATGACTTAGGTTTATATGTGCTCCTAACAAAGTCCATGCTAGTCAAATGGTAGACTGTTACATGTCTTAATCAGCTAAATAAATAAGCTTTGCTCACTTAGCAGTTCTGAAGAAGAAAACACTGCCTCATCTAAGTATTTTTAATACACTGAAATATGAATTGGAAAACAGTGGTGTAGGACTTCACATACTCTATCTTGCCATGATGCCAGACGACAAAATTTTGCAGACTGGGCCCAAGTCACATTTATTTGGATGCTTTTCAGCTTCTGATGCAAGGCCTGTTACACAGATGACATTCAAATGGGTGCTGACCTAAGCCGAAGAAAATGAAGTATGCTCCTACCTGGTCCCACAAAGCTGCAGCCACCTGGTCTATGACAGCGCCGAGTTCTCGGTATTCCCCGGAGTACCGGATGTAGGCCCAGGTGCACAAGGTGATGAGGGTCAGTCCCATGATCATATTGCACAAGCTGGCTATGATGTCCAAGCCAATGAACCCAGTCACCCCAGCAATCACATACGTGATAAAGATGACAACAAACAGTGTGGCCGGGGTTCGAGCTGCGTGGAAGATGTTTTTGCTATCATTGTGCTTAATATACTGGATGTAGAGTTCATCTATTTCACTCTCCAACTGCTGCAGGTAACGCCGGCTGAACTCTTCCCCGCCCATCTTCTTCACCCCTCGGAACAGCTTCACAGACTCTTCTTTAAGCTGCAGGTGCTTGGTCTGCAGGTCATTGGGAGCCAGAAATGGTTTGTCGCCTCCACAAATCTGTATCAGATAGACAAGTATACAGAGTAAGTTGATGACTCAAAATTTTTCATTTAGCTAGCTGACTTTCTCAAAACACATTAACACAGTCATACGCTGTGTAAAGATGTTTGAATCAATGGTGTCACTGGGGCTGTGATGAAGTATAGTATGTCTCATTACTCAATGGTGATGCTGATGTAAACCTGCTTTGCCAGCCACTTATAAATACTGTGTGTCACACAGCTGGGCACAGTGCACATGCCCTGTAATCCTCACACCTAAGGAGGCTGAGGCTTGGGGATCACAGGTTCAAGTCTCACCTGGACAACTTAGCAAGACCCTCTCAATTTTTTAATAAAAATAAAAAAGGGCCCAAGGGCTGGAGACTTAGCTCTGTGGTAGAGAGTGCCAAGTTTGATTCCTTGGACCACCACCACCAAGTAAGTAAACGTATGTATGTGTGCACCCACACCTAGGTACAGCATGTACTTTTATGCTCAGTGTAGTAATGCTTGATGACTCGTCTGTGTGTTTACTTTTTGTCATTATAGAACATTTCTATTTTTAAAAAAAGCTGACTGAAGCGGTGTGCTGTGCTGTTGGCAGCAGCCACATCCCTCTCTTCCATTTACCTCGGCTCTGGGCTGTATTGAAACCATATTGAATAACCTAAGACATCTGGGTTTGTTAAGTGTGCAGTGTGGTGTCTGCAGAGACCATATTTCCTAATGACAATTTTCTCAGAACATTTTGCTGTTCTTAAGCATCACATACGAAGCAGCAGCCCACCTGTCTCTCAACCCACATTTTTCCACCCCCATATCTGTGAGGTATAAGTATTAAGTGTAGCTGGTACTGTGCCAGTGGCTTATATACTAAGTCATTCTTAAGTTTTACTCTCTTTTTGACACGGGAAATACTATCTATGACTTAATCCCTGCCCCTCAGGCTGAAAAGGCACCACCTTTTTGAAATTTGGCGTGCAAACTGAGTTCATTCACAGAATGAATCCAGAGCCAAGAAATTGCTTCCATTCCAGTTTCTGCAGGAAATCTAACTACACTGAAATAAATTTTACTAGTGGACATTTTAAGAATAATCAGTTCTATATAGCTCTCAAAGTCAAATTGTGAAACATAAAATTTTCTTTGGGAGTTTCACTGACTTTACTCTGAATAGAGCCTGTTGAATGTTTTCTTCCAGAGTCTAGGAGCATATTACATGTTTTTGAACCACAGTCTTTGAAAAGTTACAAGGTAAATCTCAGTTAACTACACCATTCATTTTGGTTATATGAGATTTAATTATATTGAACATACTTTTTCTGATTGTCCTCTATTTACACCATAAATGCCAGTCTATATAGACCTACGTTTCCCTTGATCCTAAAACTGCATAAATTTTGGATGTAATTTTGATTTTAGGGAGGAGGAAAACCTATCATATTAGTTAAAACTAAAAATGAGGAAATACAGTATATAAAACATTAGTCCTTGATGTTTGATGTCTTTTTTTCCTGGAAGGCTTTATCTTTACAGAATGTAAGTGTAAAATGGAAGGGGCACGGTGGGCAGAGCAGCACATGTTATCCTAACCACTAGATCTTACAAACACTGGGAAGAGGGCCGGCCGGGGTTTAGCTCGGGCTGGTGATGTAGATCAGTGGCTCCAGCGCCTGCCTGGCAAGTGCAAGGTCATGAATCTGAATGGGAATGTATAATATTGACAAAACCCTTTAAAATCATGCATCCATAATGTTCTTGTGTTTTAAAAATATTTTAGGAATACAAAACTATGCATATAGGCTGAAAGTAAAAACAACCTCTTTGCATGTGTAACGTAAGGAGATGATGAATTCAATGCAAAAGAATGGGCTTTACTTAAAACAGTATTTAAAATATTTAATTCTTACCTCTTCCATCTTTCTGTTATATGTGTCCTTGGCAGTTGCAACGGCTGCTAAATTGTTAGCTTCTGCTGTGGCCTTTGGACAAGGTATAAATTACACTGTAAGTCGGGGTTCACGTGCATTAGAGCTCCCTGGGCAGCTCACAGTGCAGAGGACCGTGTGCGAGAAATGTACAACAAACCAAAAGTCATCAGATAATTTAAAACTTGAAATATTTCCACTACATTTTTAAATTAGTAAGATTAAAATTTCAAGACACAGAAAACATAGATTTTACTCAGTAAGTTGTAATCCTAAAGTGAATTTTCATTTAGAAGGTTTTTCCTCTCAAGAAATGCTTTTAGTTCCTCATCCAGTGTGGTAGGTGGAATGGGGAGGTCTCTAAACCCAAATCCATGGGAAACATTGTATGTTACTGATAGCAAAATGGAAACATAAAAACTCACATTTTTTTAAACTAAAGAAAACTAGTTTTTTCTTTTTAATATTTAATTGTGAAGATTACATACTTAAAACTTGGCCTTGTTTATCTACTTCCTCTTACATATGTGAATCTAAATCATGGTGTGTTTTCTAAACAAATTCAGTACAAAGAGAATGAAAACTGTGTAGTACAGTGTTTGTATCTCTTTCAATTCTCAATGTTGCAAAATAAAACAAAGCCAAAAACAAATGTGTATCTCAGTGGAGTATGTATATGTGATTGCGCCCTTCTGTATACTGTTGGAGGGAATGTAGGTAAGTTACGCCATTGCAGAAAACAGTATGGTGATTCCTCAAATATGAAGAACTCCCATGCGATCCAGCAGCCCTGCTGCAGGGCACATCTGCAAAGGTGATGCAATATTTATGCCAAAAAGACACCTGCACTGCCATATGCATTGTAGCACTACTTATAATAACTAAAATATGGAATCAACCCTGACACTAATACAATGGAATACTGAGTCACATTAAAAAAATATGAAATCCTGTCATTTGCAGCAACATGGATTGAACTGGAGATAATTATGTTGAGTGAAATAAGCCAAAAAGCAAAAGAAAAATACCACATGTTCTCACACATTTAAGGAAACCAGTAAATCAGCCTTGCAGAAGTATGGAATGGAATAATGTTCACTAGAGACGGAAGGGGGAGAGGGGACAGAGCAAAGTTAAGAGGGACTTTTGGGGAGTGGGGAGGATGCTGGAGTAAGGACAAGGGGGTTGAAGCACAGTGGATGGACATGATCTGGGCCAGTCTTATATATTTCCGAAATGACATGGAATATAAATACCGAATATTTTTCCTGTTTGCCCGGGGAGTTAATTATTTAGGAAATAACTTTACAATAAATCATTCTAGCCAATATTTCTGAGTTATTTGTAGTGGATTGGCATGTATGTGAACTCAAGAAGGAAAGCTCTGATTTAGTGACAAGCATGTTTTAAAGCATCATGCCTCCCGATTAATAAATACCTGCAACATGGATTTGGGATGTGGTAATTCTTCACCTTGATAGATCTTTATGTAAGCCTAAGGAAAAGAAAAGAACCCGTTACCAAGTAATTCCACTCAGTATTTCTCTAATGACATTAAATCACATTTGAAGGTCTTGATGTTTCAAAACTATTTTCAGGAACTTAGAGCTATTATCTCTTTCTCATACTGTACTGTTTGCTTTTTTAGCTCATGTTTTCCCCATTTTCCTGACTGTCCTTTTCACACATCTCCACGAGGCAATCCCACCTGTCTGCAAGGCTCACCTCATCTCCTTCAAAACTTGCTCAGATCCCCCTGCTGTCCGCTGCTTCCTCTTTCAGGTACGCACAGGAAGCTGTGCCCTGCTTCATCACAGCTTGTATAAGGCTCCTACTTTTTACCAAATTGTGAATTCCTTCACAGTGTTGCAGTAAAAGTTAAAGTGTTAGATAAATAATGTCATTTATTGTGGTGAGTGTGAAAGTAAGTATAGGACAGCATCTGAAATGATAAACTATGAATTCTGATGTTACTTGATATTTTATTTTGTTTTGAGACAGGCTCTCACTAGCCCAGGCTGGCCTCAAACTCACGGCAATCATCCTGCCTCAACCTCCCAAGTGCTGGGATTACAGGTGTGTGCCACCATGCCCCGCTAAAACATGAATTTTAAAAATTAGTATCTTGGAGTAACAATCCACAAATTAGATTGAAATTCTCCACCAAATACATAAGTTGGTAAGAAGTATTCAGTGGTAACTAAGGTAAACTGGTAAAATAATTCTACTTCAAATTGCCTCTCAGCATGACAGCAGGAAGTGTGACAGAACCCCCCACCCCCCAAGAAGGCCCAGTCCCTTTGGGGAACACCTTCAGAATGAAAGGAGAACTCAGTAGCAATCAGGGGCCCTGGAAAACTTTCCAGACAAACCAAACCAAACCAAACCAAAACAAAACACAAACACTTCAACACATTTCCTTCAGGATAAAAGGAAACAGTAAAGTTATCTCTAAGGAGTTTTCTCAAGGAAAAAAAATGCAGCAAGCGTCTGGGTTTCAAATCCTTTCCCGACCCCCAGGGTAGAGCTCTGGCTTGTGGCACTGGGCTGCAGAGCGCAGACGCACTGCTCTGGAGGCGCGCGGTACCTTGAAGTACTCCACCAGGCCGCGGCAGGTGATTTTATTCCCATTAATTTCTTTGATGTCAAGGTTCTCAGGACTAAGCAACCAAGGAATCAGTATTTTCAAGTTTTTGATGAATTCGTCGTCTATTTCTACAAGTAAAAAGCAAATACTGTGAGGAACCAAGGGAAACCAGTAACCATAACAGAGGTCACAACTGATAATGAGCTAGAAAATTATTTCTGTGTGTGAAACAGTAGAGGAGCAACTATTATCAGCCTTTTCTTCCCCAGAGACAATCATGCCAGCCCAGTGGAGAGCAGCATGGCCAGCCAAGAAGATATCCTGGGCAGAAAGCCCACGGAATTCCAAGACTCCAGGTGGAACGGAAAACCACCGAAGGTAAACTTTCAAAGCTCCCGAGCAAACACGGAGGCAAGTTAGAACATTTCTGTACATGAAACAGATTTAGCAGTAATCCTTAGGTTATAAAAGCCTTATTAAAATGGAACTTTTAGGTCAACTGCAGGCAGCTTTTGTTTCTTTCTCCCAGGCTAGCTACTGTAGTAAACTCACGACTTAACAGAGAGCTATCGATACTGAATTTTGCAGATCGAATGCGATACACACGTTGGTAAAATCTGAGAGAGAGCAAATGTTAATAAAAGTAGGATTCTATATTTGCATGACCTGTCTTCAACACTCCTGAGCTCATTCACGGGAAGCTGCATCAGTTAATTTAAGAAATGTGACGGTATACAACATCATGGAACAAGTCAGAGTACTTTTCTGTCCCAATAAAGGCCTGTTACTCCCCTGCTTGTTTACAGCTCCTCACTCCAGAGAAGAAAGGCAGGCTTTGTGGAAGCCCTTTTTTTATGTAATTTATTCAAACTAGGTAACTGCACAATATCAAAAGTCTGTGTGTTTCCTGGTGGGTTGGAGTTTACCAGTGACAGGTGAAATTACAGGACCCAGCATCCATGGGTTAATATGTGCTTACTGCTATCTGTTTTGTTCTAAAAAGGTGACAATTTTAAATGTGTAAAAAGCATGTTGAATATGGAGAAATCTGGGATTCTACTTATGGTATTAACTACCAAAATAAAATGTAAGGTGTCTGGGACTAGATGCCATGGCTACAGGGGAAAAATACTTTTGCTTTTCATATCTCTCAGTTTCTCAAACTGGATCCAACTTAGATTGTTGTTTTGGTTTTTTTTTAAAAGCAATTTTAAATTCCTTTGACAGAAATTCTCCTGAAAAACTTGTGACTATCTAACCCTTATGCAATACAGAAAGTCCACAGCAATTCCTTAAGAGCCGGAGCTCTGTGGTACATTCAGTGCTAGCATACAAGTAAAAAACTCAGAAATGTCTCTGTACTCCCTTGTCACTGCAAAGTATGTCCCGAGTCCGGGGACTCTCCTGGGGAAAGACCAACTTCTGTTTCTGCAGACCCTTACCTCCACCTGCATCTTTTTAAAATATAGGTTAAGCTGTTTTGGAATATAAAACAGTCTACTGCTGTTAAAGAGTGTGTAACTGTACACTCTTAACCACATACTATGTGAAAAACACTGTGTTTTTGTTTTGTGGAAATTGGTTATCATTCAGAAATGATTTCACTTTTAGGAGTTTTTAATAATTTATAATTAAATTCTTCACTATCACCTCTAAAGAACCTAAATTCAATACTATGCAATGTTTCTTTCAGCCTCTTAATTATGTAATTTAGTAAGTTCAGTAGTAAGTTTAGTAAGTTCATAACCAAATTTAAACGTTCGGTTTTTCACTTTTAATGTAAGTAAGGAAAATTATGCACAAAGCTGTTAAGCGGCCTTCTTGGTGCACAGAGGAGAGAGAGTAAGGGAGGCAGTCTGTAGGGTAGCTAGAACTCTGTTTTCACAGGCAGTACACACATGCCACATCCACACAATCCTACCGTTCACTGAGGAGGAATTCGAGGGCCAGCCCAGGATTCCCCATTTTTCTGGCAATTTCTAATCATCAGCCTCATCTCTGTGGGTACACAGAACTAGCAGCAGTAAGCCCAGGAAATAAAATGATATTTTATCATCTGGCTAAATGATCCAACATAGTCATTAAAAGGCAGACAAACCTTTTAATTTTCCATCGAAGTTTGGGTTGGTAGCTACTTTTAGGCCAGGATGAGGTAGCAGAAAACAGGAAATGTTGGTGAAACAGGAATGGATGTGCTTCCGAACATTCTGCAGTTCTTCATGCTGGTTCCCTGAGACCTGCGGTAAATTGTTCTGAAGTGAAACGTACTTACTTGCAACATAAACTGAACGAAGGCAAAGGAATTTGGTGGCATCTTGTATTTACTGTGTTTGGTCCCATAGTGACTAAAATGACGTTAATGGGCTGTTATACTAAAGAGAGAGGAGTTCTGGGTGAAACTGTTCTAAGAGCAATATCTAAGTACAGTAAACACGGTACAGTCATTCCAGTTAGCAAGCATCTACCCTTACACTACCCAGATGGGCCTTCCCATTTCTAACACAAATTAGTTTTACTCCAGTTCTTACAAATTCAAATTTTATTTCAAAGTGCTCATAGAGAGCACAAATAGATCATAAAAGGTTCCTACTTTTTTTTTCAGATAGTCAAGGCAGCTTCCTATTGCTTGGTAAGGTACACACTTAAATTCTAGAGAGGCATCTGAATGGTTGTTTACGTGTAAGTTCAACTAGTCGCTTCTTAGGGTATGCATTTGACAGTCTGTAGTGTAGACAAACTACTCTACAAGTAACAATAAACCTAAAAAAAGCTAGGCTTATAGATCTTGATACTCAAGTAGATTTTTTAAAACTTCAACTTTCCTCCTGATTTCTCTTGAGGTATTTTTTGTGGTTTCTGCCCACTGCCAAAACAATTCACACAATATTGGACAATCACGACTCAGGAAGTAGAGCCCTTCTCATTTCCATCCATCATATGTTCTAGGACTGATTTGGGAATTCACAATTAGACATTTCTTTGCCTACTAAAAGTGCCCCCAGATAGTTGTACTGTTTTAATTTTTCAAAGCAAAGATTTTATCTTTAGAAATGATTATTTCATAGATCCCCATGAAAGAATTCTATATCAAAATTATTAATAATGTTTAAGTTATAACTCTGCAAGTAGTTTGGATATCTATGTAGTAAATCTTCTAAAAATTAACTTTAGATTACTACAGGTAAAACTGTCATGTATTCAATTAAATATCCAACTAACCTTGAGGCGTTTTTCTAAGAATTTGGCACCACCATCAGCCCCATATGAAAATTCATATGGGAAACTCCAGTCTCGAACAAGAAATATCAAACTCTGAAAAGTGATAAGAAAGGATTTGATAAGAAGACTTAAAAGTGCTGCTATCTGCTTTTTATTTAAACATATTTTAATGTCATTGTTATCTGAATAGTATTCGTTACTGCACTATGGAATTGAAGAGCAATCCTTGAAAGTTTCCAAACAGTCACTCATGCTAAGGGTGAACAAAAATTTGCCTACTGGTTGCCAAAGTGAAGGCACCACACACACAGGGAAGAAACAGGTGACTTGAACTAGTCAGATGGACCTACATGGTTGTAATCAGATTTTGCGTAGAACGCTCCCATGGATCTTCCTTTTTGATGACTATGGCAGAATGTGAGCAGAAGCTGTAATTCCTGTCTTCAGTTATGTTCATATTTTTATAGAGGGGATACATACATATCTTACAGAACTGACACACGCATTCTTCTCATAAAAGTTCAAATTATATACCAAGGTCCAGAAAAGAAATTTTTAAATGTACCCCAAATCTCATCTGGATGCAACGTTAACAATGGGATAGTGCAGGGATATTTTTAAAAGGAGAAAAAAATTTTATAAAACATGATTTTGTTTTATATGTTGCATTTTAAATTAAAATATTAAAATATACTTGAAATTGACAAAATGGAAATTGAGATGACATTTAAGATATTTCTGACTTTTGCCAGGCATGGTGGCACATGCCTGTGATCCCAGCACTGGGAAGCTGAGGTCGGAAGGTCACACGTTCAAGCCCAGCCTGGGATGTAGCTCAATGGAAAGTACTGGCAGTGGTTTAGTTCCCAACACCACCCACCACGAGATTGCTGACTTTCAAGTACTGTCTGGCTGAAATTCAAGATACTGCTGACTTTTCACCATAAAATATGGTGAAGAAGATTTTTCTGAAGAAAAAGAAAAACCTTAAGCTAGGAATCGTGTTTTTAAACTCATTGTTGAAATATAGGCTACATATTAAAATTTCATATATGACTGCATAGCTTAACAGATGTTCACAAACTGAATTCTCCATGTAACCAGAAACTAGATCAAGAAACAGAATATTTATCATCTCACAAGTCCCTATTCTTACATTTTTCTAGTTGTGACTCATTGCTCACGGGTAACCACTATCTTGACTTCTAAAAAGCACGGGTTATTTTTCACTCCTTTCATTATGAGATTCATTACATTATTGCATAGTCATTTGTCATTCATAGTCATCACTATGTATTATCCATTATGTGAATTACTAATTCGTGCTTATCAACGGTTGTACCTACATGCCCTCTGAAGCCTCATGTGCTGATAGGTGGGCTTTTCAGAGGTGGCTGGATCTCAGGTGTGATATAGATTAACAGTGCATGATGACTAAATTGCTGGATGTGGATAATGGGAAGGCCCATCCTAGGTGTGGGTGGTACCAATCAACAAGCTGACAGTCTGGATGGAATACAAAGGTAAGGATGGAAGGCAGGCTGTATGCCTCCGCCTGTCATGCCAAGAGCTGTTTCTCCTCTGCGATGCCCGTCAGCCATAGCACTCTGCCTTGGAGCCAGCAGAATGTGACTGAAACTTCCATAAACCGTGAGCTAAATAAACCTTTCCTCTTTTAACTTTGAGTGGTAGGTGTTTTGTCTCAGCAACACAAAAAATAACTAAGTCAATCCTACTGTAGATGCACAAAGTTACTGGCTGGTCTCCCTTTCCTTACTGACTCAAAGTCATATTTTTAAAATATGTTTCACCTTTAATTTTCTGTCATGAGCAAATTAGCATTCTGACCGCTTTTCCCTTTCATCTATTTTTTAAACCATTACTTTGAAATAACACAAATAGAAGTTTGTATATAAACTTTTAAGATACAAAGACTATTGAAAGATATGATAAATTAGATTGCAATTTAAGCAGAAGTAATTTACATATGTGCTTCTGCGATGTGCTCCTGTATTGCCCTGTTCTTTCCCCATCATACTACTTGTCATACTAGAATTTTAATGGAACTTCTTCAAGCTGAAGTTGAAAAACAGAGGATTTATAATCCATTCCATAACTACAAAGGTGAGTTCTTTTTTTCTGACTCATCAGTCCTTTTTACATGACAGCCAAGATGATCACTGAAATCCAGATGTACATCCTCTTTAACACCAACGCAATTCAGTTTTTATGACAGTTACGTCAGGAAATTTCCAGGGAATGTTCTACCCTGGATCACTTTCCCAGTCCACCAGCCAGGGACATGAGACAGTCTGCATTAACAACCCCTCACCTGAACCAAAGGGAGCAGACTCTCCATAGGAAAGAAGAGTTCCAGCATTGAGCTGTAAGAAGGGGAGAACTGGGACCTAGACACAAACACTCACTCCAGTACTGTAGTGTTATGGCCCAATGATTATACATTGAAGGTGAAAATTCAATCTCTTTGTTGTCCATAGCATTCCTAGGAACTAATAGAGTGCTTGGCGCAGGATTTGCTTAGTTTATATTTGTTGAATAAATCATTTTCTAATTTCTTACATACCAATTTTGCAGTGTCAAGGTTTAAAATATTTTCATTATACTCTGAAATCAGTACTCTCAATTGGTTGGTTGTAGAACTGAATTTTGACTCAACTCAAAATCTTTTCACTGCAACTTCACCATGCCTGAGCCTTCATTTTCAATAAAATCAAAGCTAGCTGGATTTCATCATGTAGTTTGTCAAAAAACATTAGGGCTACTGTATCTCCTAAATACATTCTTTTTTTTTTAATTTTTTTTTTTTTTTTTTTTTGGTACCAGGGATTGAACTCACGACCTTGCACTTACCAGGCAGGTGCTTATGCCGCTGAGCTAAATCCACGGCCTAAATACATTAAGAAAATGTTACTTTTAATGGAAAAATTAGATGACTATATAAAATTCTTGGGGTGACACTTTTACCACTTTGTCAGTTATTCTTCTGTTCTTACTCACTGACTGTTAGTATGGGAAATTCTGTGCAGAATCCTTGTCTTTGAAAGATCAATAACTTTACTGAATATATTGTCATATTGACTGAAACTTATCAGTTTTTCCTAGGCATATAATACGAAGATTTGAATTTAATTTGTTGGAATTTTTCTTCTATAGTCTCTTTAACTACAAATTTCAAAACCTTTTGAAAAATATCACAAACCATACAAAGAAATCCAGAAAAACTAACATTGTTATACTTTTTTTTCTCAAAAGATATGTCAAGTTCATTTCCTATTCCAGACTTAGAATCAAACATTTCTTCAAAAACATTGGTTTCATGTCTATTACCATGCACTAAAATAAAAAAGGATCAAAGAATATTAAAACAGAAACACTAAATCTACTAGAAGACAAAGTAGGTAGAAATGTTGAGGATATAGGGGTAAGCAAAGTTCATGAACAAAAACTAAACTGTACAGGAAGCACTTCAAAGAATCAACAACTGGGATCTCATCTTATTAAAAAGTTTTTGCATATCAAAAGAAATCACCAGCAGAGTGAAGAGAAAGCCCACAGATTAGCAAAAGATTTTTGCCAACTGTCTCTCAGACAAAGGACTTTTACATAGAAAGTATAAAGAATTTAGCCTCCCAAATTCAAAGACCCAGTCCAAAAATGGGTATCTGAGACGAATACACAATTCTCAGATAAAGAAATACAGATGGCAAATAAATATATGAAAAAATATTCAACATCAATGGTCATTTGAGAAATGTAAATTAAAACAACACTGAGATATCATGTCATTCCAGAAAGAATGGCTAACATCAAGAAATCAACCAATAACAAATGTTGGTGGGGCTGTGGGGAAAAAGGAACATGGCTCCACTGTTGGTACGAGTGTAGACCTGTGCAGCCACTGTGGAAATCAGTATGGAGACTCCTCAAAAAACTAGGGTTAAAGGTTCCATTCGACCCAGCTATTCCCCTTCTGGGTATCTTCCCAGAACTGAAAACATCACGCCACAGCGATATATGTGTACCATGTTTATAGCTCACAATTCGTAATATTCAGATTTGGGAAACAATCCAAGTGCCCATCAACTGAGGAATGGGAAAAAAATGTGGTATTTTTATACAACAGAATACCATTCAGCCATAAAGAAGGATAAACTTGAGGCTCTTAAGGTAAATGGATGCAACTAAAAACCATATTCATAAGTGAAATAAATCAGACTTGCATGTGTAAACACTATACTGTCTTGCTAGTGTAGGAAACTGAAAGAGTAAATAAGATCCAAAAGTTATGGGGCTGGAGGTTTAGCTCAGCGGCATAAGCGCCTGCCTTGCAAGCAGGCAGTCGTGAGTTCGATCCCCCGTACTGATAAAAAGGAAAAACACACACACACACACACACACACACACACACACACACATGCATGCACACACACACACACACACACAAAAAAAAAAAAAAAAAAGATCCAAAAGTTATAATAGATATAGTGAAAGGGAAAGAAACTGCTGAAAGGGAAGTTGTACTGTTCAATCAATTTTTGCATGCCTGAAGCTAGTAACTTGAGCAATTATTTTGAAGATAACAATGTGAAATATAACAACTATTGTTAAATTTCTATTATCTTGTTTTGAAATGCTGTATTGCTATTGGGTTTTTTGTTGTTTCTGCTTTGCTTTTGCTGTTGTTTTGTTTCTTGATTTTTCTGGTTTTTTTCTCTTTAAAATTTACAAAAAACTAGTTTATTTCACTGGAATTTATAACTTCAAGAACATAATTATGAGAGAAATACTGAGTTAGTCATTGATGCTAGGTGTTTTTAGTGCGTAAAACTAACAAAATAATCATTAATTAATAATGTTATTTCTAGTTCAAATATTCAAATTCAGGACTATAGGGTTTTCAGTGAGCTTTTGCAGTACATTACTATTTTCTTGCTCAAGAATTCAGGATTGGGAATCTCGGTTCTGGAGGTATGGGTGCTAACTGAATTATGACAGTCCCTAAGTACTTATTTTTATGCTACACTGCACACAAAATGGCCTAGAGCAGCAATCCCAATACTATCATCAACCAG